AATGTAACAAATTGTCGGTAAATGAAAAGAAAACATGTTTTCTGTTATTTTCAAAAAAGTACAATGATGTTGTTGACATTAATATTTATATTAATAAATCTAAGATAAGCCAGGTAGATCATTTCTAATTTTTAGGTGTCATAATTGACTGTAACCTTTCATAGAAATTACAGTGCCAAAAGGTTCACACATCAATTTCCCAGTTATTGGGTGTACTTACGTTAACTTCGACATACACTACCCAGAAATGTCCTCTTCTCTATTTATAATACACTTGCATTACCCCATCTTCAATATGGAATTCTAAGCATGGGAAAATACCCATAGTACTTTTTTGAATAAATTATTTATAGTACAGAAGAAGCTGATGAGACTCATCACAAACTCCGGGTTCAGAGAACACTCTTCGCCCCTTTTTTGACAATATAAAACACTCAACATGTTTGAACTGTAAAAATACCATCTAGGAATCCTAATGTTTAAATTCAAAGGTAACCTTTTACCTACAAATATCAGGTCCATGTTTGTGAGGAATCTAGATGTCCATTTACATAAAACAAGATCAGCCAAAAAAAATTCACATTACACCAGGGCCCCCTTCTTTGGAATCAGCTTATCCCTATACCCTTCTTTCGGACTGTGCATAAATTCAAAAAAAATCTTAAAACCTATACTTATTCCCGGTATTATATAAGACGTGCACCCATAATTCACATTTGAATATGTCACACTCCATCATAATCAAATGTTATATTGTAAATTAGTACATGTATATTTTATTTTTCTTCAGTTTTTTTTTACTTTTATGCCAAGTAATTAATTAATTAATTTATTGACCACTGTTTTAAACCATAGCTAGAATAATTGTTCATTTCATGTTATTCACAAACGGGACCAGGCTCTGTATAAGCTTAGGCTTTTTTCCTGGTTCCCCCATCTGTGACCATTTATGTTTAATTGATCAAAGTGTTGTGCATATATTAGCATTCTATTAAGTTTAGTTATTATTGTGGTAAATAAACTATTGCATTTGTGTCATGGAATAGGATCTAGTTGTCTCCTATCAGGGAGGGGGTGTGGACTCCACCTCGGGGGTTGAGGGTGTGTACCCTTGGGATGGAATAACAACTCTGGACTGCACTCACTGACCTTGAACTTGATTATCTCATCATTTAATTATCTCGGTTCGTCTTTATTGATCATCAATTAGCATTGGCACATGGTAGAAAACATCGGTATAGTAAAGAACAAAAAACCCCAAGCCAGCCTGCTCTCACTCACAACCGCCTACTGCAAAAAACAATATAGGGCCGAGTTGGTTGCACGTCTACGATACACACTATTATTTACGAAAAACAGCCATTCGTACACCCCCAATAGCACACTTTCTCCAGCTTTAATCATCAAGCCATTCAGCTAAAAGTTTCCTCATCGGAAGGAATAAACTATAAACTTACTTATGGCATCCTGTCGGGATGTCTATCATCTCCCCAAAAGGAAGAATATGGCCTGTAATTTCCAGCAACCTTCCACGTCTTTCAGTTCATCGAAAGCGAAAAGCAGAGATAGTGAGAACCCTGAAAATTTGTTACACACTCGTACTAGCTGGGCGGACTTTAATATGTCCCATAAACATTTCAAGAAGAAATAATAATCAATTATGTAAAGCTAAATTTCCCATTTAATAAGCAAAATGTTTTCCAAAGCTCGCAAAAGCAGGTACTATATTCCCATGGTTGAAAATGGATACAGTTGTTTACATGGGTTAAGTGGCATCTGCCCAGATACAGTGTGTGCTTAACATTAAAGGGACTTCATGAAAGTATGGACACAAATCAATGAAGTCTACACAATCCAATGTGTTAAAGGGGAAATACTCCGTTCTCCCACATGTGCATAATATTAATTTGTGACAAATGGAAAATAAAACAATACAATACAATACAATACAATACCAACTGTATGTTTTAAATACACTAGAACACTTGTGAGTCACCCACATTTTTTCATATAAGGGATCCTTGTTTCTGATTGGTCTATTGAGTTTATGCACTGTTGTATGGCAAAGAGAAGTTGTGCACTAGCTTATGGGGCTCTAAATCTAGAAAAGGAGTTACAGGGCTAGGATTTAGTCACTTGATTGCTTGATTCTCCAATGACTAGAATAATTGGTAGGGTTCTTGATCAAGTGGAATGACATGACGGATGATGATGATTACAATTAAAGGCTTGACCACCGTACTTGATCACTGTTTCTGTTCACCAATTACTAGTCTGTGTTAGGAAATAGGGTCTACTTGGGACTAAGTCAAGGGCAAAGTCCCAAGGGATATAAATTGTTCCACCCCCATTCTGACTCCGCCGACTCCACCCACATTCCGACTCCGCTGATCCACCCACATTCCGAGCCGCTAACTCCACCCACATTCCGACTACGCCGACATTCTGACTCAACTGATCAACCTTCCGAATCCGACTCCACTGACCTTCCGACTCCACCCACTTCCTACTCCACATTCCGATTCCCAGTTTCCACTTCCATTCCCCTGCTCCATTGCCCTGACTATACCAGTCTACGGACTGATCCGATCAACCCAGAAGAGGGGATAGTCTGGTGCTGTGGCCAACCACTGCAGGGATAGGACACCATCGGGACGGCACGCTACCAACCAAACCAGCCTGAAGCAGGAAAGCTGGCACGACAACGTCACAATACTGTCCCATTCTCCCTGACAGTTACTGTCCGATTTTCTTTTGCCAAATACTGTCCAATTCCCCCATCTAAACATTGTCCCATTCCCCACGACAAGCACTGTTCGGTTTTTCTTGCTAATTACTCTCCGATTTCTCCGGCCAAATATTGTCCAAATCCAACTGCCAAATACCGTCCCATTCCTCCCGCTAAATACTGTCCGGTTGCCCCTGTTCAATATTGTCCGATTCCACTTGCCAATGACTGTCTGATTTTTCCTTGCAAATACTGTCAGATTCCCCCAGCTAAACATTGTCACATTCCCCCTGCTAAATACTGTCCGGTTGCCCCTGCTAAATATTTTCTCATTTCACCTGTCAAATACTGTCCGATTTTTCCTGCCAAATACTGTCCGACTCCCCCAGCTAAACATTGTCCGATTTTTTCTGCCACATACTGTACGATTCCACCTACCAAAGTATTAAATTCTCCTGCCAAATTCTGTCCGATTCCCCTTAACAAGTACTGTCCAATTTTTCCTGCCAAACACTGTCAGATTCACCCAGCCCAACATTGTCCCATTCGTCCTGCTAAATACTGTCAGATTCCCCCAAACAAGTACTGTCCAATATTTCCTGCCAAACACTGTCAGATTCAGCAAGCCCAACATTGTCCCATTCGTCCTGCTAAATACTGTCAGATTCCCCCTAAAAAGTCCTGTCCGAGTTGAGTCCGATTCCACCTGCCAAAGTGTAAATTTTCCTGCCAAATACTGTCCGATTCGCCATGACAAGTACTAACCAATTTGTTTTGTCAAATACTGTCCGATTCTCTTAGCTAAACATAGCCCAAAGTTTCTTGCTAAAGCGTCCGTTTTTCCTGCTAAATATTTCCCGTTCATCCTGCTCAATACTGTCCGATCCCTATGTCAAATATTGTCTAATTTCACATGCCATTATTTTCCTGTCCAAATTTTCCTGCCAAATACTAACCGATTTCCCCCATCTAAACATTGTCCAATTTTCCCGAAAAATTCAGTCCCATTCCTCCTGCTTATTACTGACCATTTTTTTCCTGCAAAACAAATACTGTCGGATTCCCCAGCTAAACATTGTCCGAGTTTTCATGCCAAATACTGTCCGATTCCACCTGCCAAAGTGTGTATTTTCCTGCCAAACACTGTCCGACTCCCCGACGAGCACTGTCCGATTTTTCCTGCCAAACTCTGTGCGATTCCCCCTGACATGTATTGTGCGATTTTCCCTACCAAATACTGTCCGATTCCCCATGGCAAGTACTTTCTAGTTTTTCTTGCCAAATTCCGTCTGATTTCCCCTGCCAAATATTGTCCGGTTCCACCTGTCAATTACTGTCCTATTCTTCTAGCTAAACAACATTGTCCAATGTTTCCAGCTAAAGTGTCCGATTTATCCTGCCAAATACTGTCCCAATCCTCCTGTTGAAGATTGTCCGATTTCCCCAGCTAAACATTGTCCGATTCGACCTGCCAATTGCAAAGTGTCAATTTTTCCTGCCAAATACTGTCAAATTCCCAAAGCTTGACATTGTCGAATGTTTCCTGCTAAAGTGTCCGAGTGTTCCTGCCAAATACTGTCCCATTCTCCCTGACAGTTACTGTCGGATTTTTCCAGCCAAATATTGTCCGATTCCACATACCAAATTAAATACATGTATTGTCCAATTCCACTTGCCAAAGTGTCATTTTTTTTCCGCCGAATACTGTTCGATTACCCATGACATGTACTAACCAATCTGTTCTGCCAAAAACTGTCTGATTCCCTCAGTTAAACATTGTACGAAGTTTCCTGCTAAAGTGTCCCGTTTTTCCTGCAAAATACTGTCCCATTCATCCTGCTTAAAGCCGCGTTCGGATTGGACTTATTTTTGTAAAACCTACGGAGATTGTAAGGAATTTGACCAAATTAAGTCCAGTGCGGACAGCCGGTAAACGCTGCAAATTGTCAAGTGTCGATCGTCGGTTGACAGTTTAACCCACCGCAGCGGAAGATCTACAGGGCCAACTGGGTCGCGGAGAAGTTACGCGGTCAGTTTTACGTCGCTGAAAAGTCCAGTGCGGACGGCCGCTGCAATGTAAAACCACGGTAAAGCAGGCATTTTGACCACGTGATTTCCGTCTCGGCGTCCATGGGTCAAAATGCATGACCCCGGCGCGCCATATTATGCGCTAGCTGTGTCCGTGTGCTGTGGTCTTTCGTTTTGAGTCGTATTTTCTGCTGCCTTGTCGCTCTAATCCTTCGATTATTTGATCTGTGCATCGATCAACAAGATGGAGGATTTCATAGATATGATCGTAAGCACAATTCTCGTTGATGATGATCCACAAGTGTCAAGTAACGCCCAACAAAACTGTGATGGCGATGGGAATCGCTCGACAGAGAGATTCAGGCGCCGACTGCAATGGCATCGACGAGTTTTGAACAACGAACGTGCGGGGTACATGCTGAACTTCGCAGTTATTTTGACGAGCTTATGTAAGAGAAGTCTTCCCTTGTTTTACAATACTTTGAAAATGAATTTTAAATGGTTTTAAAGGGCATGTAAAGTACATTAATGCCTGTAGCTGTACTACAGTGATGTGGTCCGTCGCATACGACTTCTTGTACTAATTATCACTGCACTAATTTCGGGAAAAATTTTTTGCAAGAATAATCGGACAAAACAATTGTTGAAAAGTAAAACGGTTAAGATTTAATTTTAATACCCAACCATATTTGCCTTTTTACAGCTTATTATAACCACCCAAAAGTGAAATTCTGATTCGAAATCGTGATTTTAACATGGAAAAAATTATGTTAACATAACAAATTCTTAGGAAAAACTGATTAATTTTAATTTAGATGAGATCCATAAAGTTTGAAAGTGGGGGTATTAAAAAATACAGTTCTTGTACAACTTGCATGTTATGTGTTCTAACCCTTATGTGGATTTGTTGGGATGTACAGGGGGGGGGGGGGAAGCTGAAAATAATAACTTCTTAACATCTTTTTATTTAATTATTTTAATTTTTTTTTTTTTAACAGTGTCTGCCATGTATAGTTCTCCCGTAACTATTTGGAGGAGAGAACGGAGCAGCCAGTGGTGGGAAGTGGATGCCCTCATCCAGTTTACTGACCAGAAGTGGTACGAGAACTTCCGAATGACAAGGGCAGCCTTCCAACTGCTATGCAACCAGCTGCATCCTCATCTTGTCAGGCAGGTTTCAAGAATGAGGCAACCGGTATGTGTTGTCAAGCTTCTAGCACTAACCTTGTACCGTTTGGCAACTGGGGAGTCATTCCGCACCATCAGCAACTTGTTTGGTGTTGGACGGACAACTGCATATGATGGATTTTGGGATGTGTGCAATGCTTTGAACAGCCACTTAAAGAAACTGTATGTCAAGAGACCTAAAGGTGAGGCTGTCAACCGGATGATAAATGTGTTTGAGACGAAATATGGCTTCCCGATGTGTGGAGGAGCAATTGATGGCACCCACATTCCCATCATTGCACCTGATCAGTACCACACAGATTACTTTAATCGAAAGGGTTGGTACAGCGTGTTACTTCAAGGCCTTGTAGACCACAACTTCAAATTTATGGACTTTGATGTAGGACAGCCTGGAAAGTGTCATGACTCGTGGGTATTTCAGTCCTCAAAACTGCACTTGAAACTTGTGAATGGCACGTTTTATCCAAGGCTCACAAGAGCAATTGAGGGCCAAGATATACCCATCGTTATTCTTGGAGATTCCGCCTATACTTTGTCACCATTCTTGATGAAACCCTACCCAGAAGGACTAGCAACTGCAGAAGAACTTCGCTTCAATGTACGCCTCAGCCGAGCACGCATTTTGGTCGAGCATGCATTTGGTCGGCTGAAGGGGCGATGGCGCTGTATCATGAAGCGCAATGACTCTCATGCGAAGAACATTCATGTTTTAGTTTCAGCATGCATTGTCCTGCATAACTTCTGTGAAACGTGGAAGCAAGAGAATGAAGACATGCACATCAGAGATGAGCCACAAGATGATGATCCATTTGAGCATCAAGCTGACCATGCACAGAATATTGCCGAGGATGGAGAACAGTTCCGTGCAGCACTTGCACGATACTTCACAAGTCAGCATTGAAAAGATGTACATGTAGCTTCAAGTCAAGATTCATGTCAGTAGTGAATTCTGCAGGAATTGAAGACTGCATCCCCAACCCTAATATTCCTCTTTTTATTATTATTTTTTCTGAAGTAAATGTGATGCCAATCAATAACAGCATAACAAATAATGCGCCCACCCTTCTTGGATCTGCCACTGCATTTTTTTCGCAAACAAGTTTTCTGTCCTAATTGGCCTCTTTGCAAATGCTCAATAATTTTTATTTTGTGTAAAGATGAAAACTGAAGAAAAAAGAATACACAAAGTTTGAATCCCAGCTGTTTATATTTCATAACCTGTGGTAAAGACACATTGAGAAATAAACATGTACATGTACATATACTTTTATTGTGCGAATATTGCAATACATGTATAAACTGGATAAAGTTTCTCTTTTCTTACACTAGTTACAGACTTCTTAAAATGATGTGCTTTTAATAAAACAAACTTGGAGTTTTCACTAGTTCTAGGAAATTTGTTTGATTTGAAATGCACTTTACGGGCTTTTTAGTTCAGTGTACTCCTACCTGTAAATTTAACCATAGTGTACAGACTATCAAACTGCTGGCAATAAAAGGCATTTAAAAAACTTCTTTGGTTCCTTGAGTTACAGAGTTGCACATGACTTATGAAACAAAATCTAAACAGGTAACATCAAACTTAAATGTTACATATTTTGTAACCTTTGCACAAGGCTCCTGAATAAACCACTTCAAACTAGTTGAAAATATATTAAAAATACATAATGTATACATATTTAAATGTGAAAAAAAGTTGAAACTAAACTTAGTACATGTCCTGAATATATGGCAGCTTAATAATAATACTGTAAGGTAAGAATATACCGAAGGCAAGTCGTTTTAATGTTAAAACTTAAATATAATTTCATATGTTTCATTATTGTCACATAAGGAGGTACTACTTGAAAAATAGATTACATGTAATTACCGGAAAACTAAACTACAGAAAACACAAGAACTTGTTTCCGAAAACTCACACTAAATCTTTGCTACAATTACTACAGTCTCGGCACTACCACAGTATAATATATAAGCTGTATATTATACAGCTTTATTAGACCTAAAACATGATGACATCATGCTTTATTGGCATGTTCGCTTCCTTCTCGTTACAACCTGGCACACGTAAACAAAGCAGGATGTCATGTTTTAGGTTAATTTCAATACATGCATGTTCTTAAAAACGAGGGGGTGGTTGGAAGTCAAATGAATTGTGATTGACATATGGTGGAATGGCCTGGTCAGTAGAAGGTCTGCCGATGTTGGTGTACTGGTCTCTGTTGTTGCCTAGGATAGTTGCTAACTGCAGCATAAAGGCCCTGTTTTGTTCACCCTGCTGCTGCCGGAATGCTAGCTGTTCCCTCCGATGCTGATCTTCGCGGCGCTCCTTCTCTTCGGCTCTCGCTTTTTCCCACTGGAAGCGTTCCTTCTCCATCTGTAAGAGAGCCATTGTGGTCTCGTCCTTCGCGGCTTGTTGTGCCTCAATGAGCTTGGAGACAGCGCTGCCCATGGCTTCTTCTATCTGTGATTTTTTACCACGACGCTTTCTTGTCATCTGGCCTAAGGACAACCAAGAAATAAGAACAAAAAATGCAACTGCAAATTAGGAAGAAACAGTAAGGAAAGTCCGAATTAATAAGTTTGAAGAAATTGTGATGACCTGAATGAGAAAAGAAAAAACAGGGTAATCCGAGAGAAAACTTGCTTGCCCTGAAATAGTAATTATGTAGTTTTAAAGAAAAAAAAGATAACTACAAGATTTTTGGGTCACCATTCTCTCCTCAATAGAAACATTGGGACCAGGAGGGGGCTAGAATGAAACGAAGACACTTGCTTGGATAGCTTACTTATGCACAAAGAAAAAATACACAAAAAGAAAACAAAACCAAACATAAGACTAAAGTAAAATTTTACCATTGAATTTTTCTTTCAGCTTGCTTGGGGCCTTTGAATTGCCAGGGTCTGTGGCTGGATCTTCCAGTCCAGCAGTGGTATCACCATCTGTTGACTGTTCGTCTGTGGCAAGGACCTCGTCAATGGCATCCATGTCCTCATTGATGACATCTGAATAGTCTGTTTCGACAAAAAAATAATGACAAGAAATGGTTTTAGTTTATTTTCTTTAACATGAAGGTATTTATCCACACTGTTTTTGACTTCATAAACAGCAAACTGAACAATAACATTCCCATTTTGTCAATGTTACTCTCTGCGAAATTCAAGGCCCGTGTATTTACCATTAAAATAGATATCCAAAAGAAATTTTTTTTTTTCAACCTATTACGATGTTACATCTGGCTCTGAATGAAAGATTTAAAATGCGACTTATTGCAATATTTGTATCAAAAACTGTTCATAAATATGCAAAGGAATTTTGTTGTCAAAATTGTATTAATTACAAAACTTTAATTCATATGTATGAATACCTTGGACCTGCTCCATTGTGTCGCTCTGGGATGTTGATGCATTCTGTTCGTCATCTTCTTCTTCGTCAGAGCTGAGGCCAGCATCGGCATGGTGATAGGCCCTGCAGTTTGTCATCGGACGTTTCCCTGTGACAACATATTATAAGAAAGTTAATAACAAAAAAAAAGAATGTAAAAAAAAAGAAAAATACTCGCAGAGAGAATGTTGCATCTTGACTATAACTCAGTTGTTTAAAAGTAAAAAAGATCAAATTAAATGGTTCTGTTATTCTGTAGTCGGGCAGCGGCGGCCCCCCTAAAAAAATTTAAAAAAAAAAAAAATTCAGTACACCCCCCCCCCCACAAAAAAAAGAACCCACACCAGATCATGACCAAAATGATGACTGTGATGCACGGTGACCAAGGAACATGGGCATGGAGAAAAAAAGAAAAAATCATTTGTGACAACTCACCCAGAAATTCGTCCAGCTCCTTGTAGTACGGGGAGCTCACCCTTCCCCGCCCAGATGCGTTATTCTCCTTTTTAGCATCCCTATACTTCCGTTTGAGGTAATCTATTCTGTCCTTGAGGCTTTCCCACGTCCGGTATGGCGACCCAGGAAAGGTGTGTAGAAACTTCGATAATATTGAGGCCCACACTCGAGAATTGTAAGTCATGCCCTCAAACCCCTCCTGGTGGGATTTTTCGCCACAAATCGCGATGAGAGCTGAAGTTTCTTCTTGCGACCAATTCCGCTTCCTCTTCCCCTTTGGGCAATCGCTTGATGAATCCCCCTTTCTTTCTTCTTGCGACCGATTCCGCTTCCCCTTCTCCTTGGGGCAATCGCTTGATGAATCCCCCTTTCTTTTAGTCATGGTGTCACACTCACAGATTATAAATATAACTACAAAAATACTAGCAGTTACTCGGACATGTCGGACGTACGACTGATAACAAAATGGCGACAACGCACTAGCCACGTTTTGCAACAGCGCGAGTTTCGCGGGGTTTACGCAACAACATCCGAGGTCAAATTTTAAAAGGTCAATCGAAGGGCGCCCTCGTGAGATTGGGAGAAGAAATGTGCTGCAAAGTTTACGTGGCCAAGGACTTCACGCGGACCGAGTAAATCCATGTGCGGACGCACGGAAGAATAACCACACCGGAATATTGACAATCACGTACGGAAACTTTTTACAATAGTAAGTCCAGTCCGAACGCGGCTACCGATCCACCTGCCTTATAGTGTCTAATTCCACATGCCAATTAGTGTCCGATTTTACCTGCTAAATATTGTCCTATTCCACCTGCCCAATACAGTGGAATTTTTCCTGCTAAATACTATCCGAAGTTTCCTGCCAAATACCGTCCGATTCCACATGCCAAATATAACACTGTACATGTCCAATTCATCTGCAAATTCTTTCCAATTGATCCTACTAAATACTGTCCGATTCCCCCTGCCAAATATTGTCAGATTCTACCTGCCAATTATTGTTCGATTTTTCCTGCCAAATACTGTCCGACTCCACCTGTCAAAGCCTCATTTGTTTCCCTTCCAAATACTGTCCAATTCCCTTGACAAGTACTGTCCAATTTTCCTGCGAACTAATGTCCGATTTTTCCTGCCAAATACTGTCCGATTCCACATGCCAAATGTTAATTATTCATTTTGTCAATTCTGCAGACCATTTTTTCCTCTTACTTCTACATTAATTATTTCTAGTTCCTTGCTTCATTGTAGTTTCGTCTTTCATGTTCATGATGTTCTAGGTTTCCTCCATGTATTTTAGTTGTTGTTGATTTATTATTAATGAATAAAAGACATGAATTAATACATGTCCGATTCCACCTGCCAAATAACCTGCCAAATATTGTCGGATTCCACCTGTCAATTACTGTCCTTTTCGTCCAGTTAAATACTGTCCGATTCCAAATGCCATAAATTGTTCGATTCACCTTGTTAATACTGTCCTTTTCCCTCTGGCAATACTGTCCGATGTTTCCTGCCAACATCCAATTTTTCCTGCCAAATACTGTCCGATTTTTCCTGCTAAATACCGTCCTATTCCACCTGTCATACATTGTTCGGTGTTTCCTGCAAAAACATGTACAATTGCTAGCGAATCCTAGCCCCCTCCGCTTCAAGGTCGTCTAGTTTAGCAATCTCGTTTTTGTTTTCTTCGTGCTGGGCAAGAACCTCAGGGTTACATGCCCGGCATTAAGATCGGAAACGACAGACCGCAAGGCAGCCACAAGTGACTCCCTGCGCCGTCGTCTATTTCTTGCCGACCGGTAAGAAAATGAAATAATATATCGCTTAGTGGGGGACATGACGTCCTCCAACCAGAGGAGTTCGTTTCCGTACCCCTCCTTGAGAGTCCGCCAGCCCGCATAATTAAGCCTTTCTTAAATCCGTTTAAAAGCCAGCGTCGGCCAAAACGAAAACATTAAATTTCCAAAAAAAAACGACCGGCGCCTGCAATCTCCGTGAAAATAAATTTCTTTTCAACACAGTCATTGTCACTGAAACAGAATGGCGAATGCCCGCAAGACACGACACCCACTGAGCTGGATGTATGAAAACGGTCAAGCCGTTTACTGGTCGTGTTTCCACATTTCACAATGTAAAATAATAAAAGAAAAGTCCGAAATGAGATGACTGAGTCCCGCGGCACCGATCCCACAAGATGTGGAATCTGAACCTCGGCGGTCAAGTTCTAAATCCAGGACACAATTGAAGTTTCCTGCTAAAATAACAGGACGACTTCCTGTCAAAAAAAGACAAGTCCGTAAAGAAGAGACGGCGCGCCCTGGGGTCAGTCAGGGCATCAACTGTGCACAATCGCACACCCTTTCCTCCCCCAGGACCGTGCAAAATTCCAGAAACGATCCTTCAAACACTTGATGGAAGGAATAGAAAAATCAAAAGGACTTTTGGCAGGCAAAAAGGATGATGGTCCCACAGGAAGATGTATCAAAACTGACAGAAATCTTCCCCCTCCACTCCGCCTGCCAAAAACTAAATCGCCATTGCCGGAAATATGACACTCCAGAAGACAGGAAACATCATACTCCCGACTAAGTCTAAAGACGCGTCTCCTCTTCACAGGGTCACGCATTCCATTGACATTCAATGAAAGGAAACTGACCACGGTGTGTTGAAATGAACATATTACTCGGGTGGATCACCTTTCGGATTACAAAGTGTGGCAGCGGGGAGAGAGGTTCTGTACCCCACTTGCTTGTCTGTATCCGGGCCCTGGGGCTCAGACCGGCTAGTTTGTGCGTCCCCCAAAGATGTTGTGCGGGGAACAGCACTAGTTTAGAATGAGCTTGCAGGTTCATCCACTTTCATCTCGGACTCATTTTCTCTGAGAGACAATTCCACCAGATTTTTTTTAGGACTACACCAGAAGAGGGAGAATCTGAATCAGAAGAGGGATGACGATCCCTCTTTTTCATCTCCTTCCCTCTCACGGGTAAAAACCCACAGCCCTGTCGATTGCAGCAGCCTGGCAGACAATTGACACCACTGGATTCGTGGTTCGAGGGCTCGGAGACGTCTGGCTTCGCCTGCACTAGATTGCATGCCAAGCCGAAATATAACGAAATACCTACTCGGTATTAAAGGCTAGACAAACCAGTGCTTAGACCAGCCGCACGCCAATCGAAAATGGATATCCTAACTGGATATCTTAACAAAAATAACAAGAGAGATTCAAGCTTGTAACGGTATTGACTTTTTTGATATATACAAACAAGAGGGAGTCACAACTGCTGACTCGCTCAACAAGAAGTTGTGATCAAGAAAGTAAAAAAGACGCGGAGGCCAGCCCCCGCAGACCCGAGATTCCCCAGCGGTGTAATGCAGAGTACCCAGAGCCTACAGGCCCGCAATACCCGCACTACGGCTCGCTCCGGCTGCCGACCCACCACCTTGTGTAACGGCGGTAGTTGGCTGCGTAACGGCTTACAAGCCGCAGCACAAGCACACAGGTCCCAACCCCACAAGGACTGAAGAATGGAGAAAAAAAATCCCCCAACAAAGAACTTCACGGGGCTATGCCACGGACCTAAACAAAAGAACGTGTACAAACGAATGGGCGGTGCACACTGCAACGGCCAAAACAAAAGGCGTGTACAAGTCAATGGGCTTGAAAAACCAACACCAAAAAACACCCAAAAAAAAATCACCGAAAAAAACCCAAAATTCTCTAAAAACTTAACCTACTTGACTTATAAACCGAGATGAACAAAAATATACAAGAATTATCACCTTACTTCATCAATAACTTGAATAGATTCCCAAACAACCCGGAGCTCCGGGAGACATGATTGTTTGAAAAGAATAGATACTGTTTTTTGATATGGGGCCTAAGAATGCCTTGGGCAGGTCGACTTGCCAAATCGCCGAACTACAGTGTTGAGGGTTTTCGAGCCCCCCTGCCCGTAACCGGGAAAAAACAACACCTAAAAAGACAATATAACTAGAAAAAAGAAAACGTCACCCAAGGACGGAAATATCACAAATAGACGGAGATAAAATTACATAAGAGTAAAAAAGGAGGTCAATAAGGCAAAAAGACATGGATTAAAAACCACACAAAGACTAAAATCCAGACAAAACTTTTGTTAAAAACTTTAAACCAGGTTGTACACATACAAAGAAACAAAAACATTTCATATTGTAGGCGTGGCTGTATACTGCTGTTAGTAGCACAAGAGAGAGAGAGAGAGAGAGAAATGTTCGCAAGAAATCCGTGTCAATAAGCTTGGAAAGATAGGAACGAGATCATAAGATTGTGAGGGAATCAACGAAGTAACCGTCAAATAAGACTTGCCATCAGTATTTGTCGGTTTTAGACCATCGGCAAAAAAAAAACACTGCTGGGGAAATAGCAAACGTTGGCTTGCAAACCCACACTCCTACGTACGTGAAAAAGGGGAACTAACGACCTACACTAACTTAATAAAATACTGAGGGGAATTGGTAAAAAAGCCGTTACGGGAAAGTTATAACTTTGTGAAAACTCTAACAGAGACGATTGTACCGCCAATTTGCCAGAGAGAAAGAAATTTCTTTCTCTCCAGCCGCAAGAAATCCGCCTTAATGCGCCTTGAAAGAAAGGACTGAGAGGAACGTAAGACTGTGAGTGAATCGACGAAGTTCCCGTCGAATAAGGCTTGACAGCGGGACTTCCAAATCTGCCACTTTAATACAGAAATAACAAACCAAATAAACTTGTCGTTTATATTTGAGGGATTAAGTCCCTCAGCGAAAAAAAAAACACTGCTGGGGAAATGGCGAACGCAGGACCACAAACACGCACTCCTACGTACGTGGCCCAATCCCACAGCAGGGCAAAAAAAAAACAATCCCACAGCAGGTGCTGCAGCGACTCATTGTTATTACAATTAGGTCGGGGGCATTTGCCTCTGCCACTGTACTGCTCTACGATGAAAGCCGCTGAGTCTTTGCTGTGCTCCAGACAATACGTCAGATCAAATCGCACAGGAAGTGATCTAATTGATAATTCACGATAAAAGAGAACTGCAAAACAGTGTAATGGATATCAGTGTGTGGTACCGCCATAGTGACCTGGTTTAGAAAAAAAGTTGTAGATGTTACTTACAGTACAGTGGCTATGTAGCATCGGGTAGAGCAAGAGTTAGTTACAGAAAGTGACATAGATACAAGGAACGTCGAAGAGTGAGGACGGATTTTATATTAAAAAAAAGACCAGTCGGAAGAAAGTTACGAAGGGAAATGGAACACCAGAACTGAAAGAGCTAAAAAAAAACTCCACGGCGGAGCTACAGGTCTACAAAGATAGCTGACAGCCTTAAATCTGATGTTGATAGCACTGAGTCCACCGCTGTCAACAGAATTACAAACAGTGGACCGGCGTACCAGTTTCGTCTTACCAGACAAAAGAAAGAAGAAAATGACCTTGTTGATCTTCTTTTCAACGGTG